GGGGGGGGGGGGGGGGGGACAGTTGTTTATGGTCACACACCATTCACAGCTTCTAGATAAGGTGTGGAAACAATACAAAAATCTTAAAATATGTAGTTAAAGGAACAGGTTTTAAACCAATGTTGGTCATGTTAAATTTTTGTACAATTGTACAATGTACTCTACTTAATTTTGAAAGACTAATGAAATGAACACAGCTGGAATGTGAAGGAAAGTTGTCTGCAAACATAAGAGCAGCTGAAAAATTGCATGAATGATTCCCAGTGCACCACTGGAATCTAATTTTGTCATTTTAGTTAGCCTGTAGGCTACAGATTTAAAACAAAATAGATTTGATTGGTAAATGACATGGATTCACTGTAGTACAATCTGTAAATTGACTGTTCCATGTACAGTTTACCTTGACATTCTGTGATCATGATTTTGATCATTGTGAATTCAAGATCACTAAATGATAAACTTGTTTTTTCCCCATCACCCAAATTAAGCAGTATTAATCGTCCCAAAAGCACAGAACTCATGGAGACTTTCAGTACGTTGATAATGCTAATATACATTGCATCTGCTAATTGTGTCTAAGACTTTTGCACAACAGTACGTTTCGCAACAACTATTACAATCAATCGACAATGTTGGGCATTTAACCAGTAGGACCAGAAAAAGAAAAGCAAGCAGAGCCTGTGTGTTATCAGAACTGGATTTTTTTATTTATAGTCTTTAATATTTTTGTATTCTTTACAGTTGCAACTCTCCATTTTTTTGGTTTAATATACCGAGGTTTAATACAGATTGTATGACATAGCTATAAAATGTAAACTTTCAGTGTTTTGTTATTAGTTACAAACCAATAATACCTGAAAATCTGTAAAAACCGCTGAACGACAATGTACTGTACATTAGTAAAGAAGGCAAGGCTAAAGAAACAATATAAAATGAAAACACACACACACCCACCCTTTTTGTGGCTGTACAATGCTTGCACAAAAGGTGGTGTTTATCCTGCTAGTTTTCAAAGCCCTTTTCCCCACTTTGGAATTTGACTTTTCCCCAAACATTGAGGTAAAAAATGTATTACTCAAGCAAGGAAATGTCAAACACCCATAAAAAAGCAGACCATGTACATTTAACATACACATTAAAAAACAACCTGCGACAGTGTAGAGAGCTCTTTCTAAAATGTCTTACAAAGGCCTTTTTTTATGAGGGCTCAATGCCTTTCAGCATTAAACCTACAGCATCTAGGGTCTTCCTACCGAATTGAGTTAACAGCCAGAGCCTGAACTCTCATGTGTGTACAAGATGAATTCGAAGAAGAAACATTTAGAATTCAAGTGGGATGGTACACATAGGCAAGGCTTTCTAAAATGGGTGAATGCTGAAACCCAGGGTTTTTTTTTTAATGCTTAAAATGTTAACCATACACATGGTCCTAAACAGAAGTTAAGTACCTTTCTCAAGATCATTTCTTACTTGTTGCACATACTGTGATGTGTACCATGAGTAATATTCAGGTACTGGGTCCATGTAAGGTTCCATTTGCCACAAAAATCAGTTATAAGAAGTGACTTGCAGATAAGCAAGGATTGACACACTAAGGTGCAGAGCCCCCCTTCTCCATACTTAATACAGACTGGGAGTGTGAACTAGACATTGGGCAATTTCTACCACACAGTCCCTTACAATTGGACTTTGGTTTCATGTCTCTCCTGAAGGACAAAGCACAAGGAAGTCTAGCTGCTGACCAGTTATCTCTCCTGAAGGACAGAGTACAAGCAGGTCCAGTTGCTGAGCTCTACTTCCAAACCAGCGTATACGTCAGAACACTATTCCACCCGCACTGCGCCGATACCAGATCCATTACTTCATTCCAATAGACCTTAAAAAGAACTGCCTGCAAAGAACTGCCACAACAGTGAACATGAGATGCTCTACATGGGGTAACAATGGTGACGGAGCTCTGTCACATTGCTCAACATCCCCAATTTCCTCCCATCCAGCTTTGGAGGGGTGTTTTGGAAAACGTCTTTGGTGGCATGATGGGTTTGGCTTGGCAAAAATGGTGGATCACAGAACATGCATTCCAGAAAGAACACGACAGGCATAGCCTACTTTCGCTTAAGACTAAAGAATAAGGAAAAGAGCTGTGAAAAGCATCCCTAACACCAGCCTCAAGAGAAATGGCCACCCTTCAAACAAGAACCAAATCCTAGCCTTTGCCCAATTCTGAATGAACTGGAAGAACTGGAGGTAGAAGTGTCTTTTTCCTGAGAAATAGAAAACTCACTTGAATGCTGCATTTCTATTATATATATATAGCACAAGAGTTGAAATATTAAATCATGCCGTTTATACCCTCAAATAATTTTTACAAAGTTTATTTGCTCTAAAAAATTAATGGGTTAACGAAGAATGGTACAAAAAAAGAACGATAAAAAGAAAACATATCTTAAAACCACAAAAAAGGGTAGAATACATCATTTTATTTATGGGCGATTTAAACAGGAATTGTCACAGCATAAGGCATCTCAACTATAGAGGCTGATACATCGTTATCAATAAAACCAACATTAAAATTTTGGTTGTCCCTGCAATTTACAATCTACCTGAACTAGTTAGAAGTTTGCACAAACTTTCGTTAGTCTTTAGGTAAGGCTAAATAGAGAGGTTATTTTTCCCCCCCAGACTCAATCTCTCTGAAAAACCTATCCATCCCCAAAATAAAAAGCATGCTTACTTCTTCTACAAAAAAGGTATCCATGTCCCATATAAAGTAAATGACCAGCAGCAATTATTCCATTTTTTCCCCAATTATACTCAAACACATTGCGATTGCCAGTCAGCAAGAACCTTTCAGATGTGAACCTTTCAAAAGGGCTAACAGCCTGCACCAACGTCAAAATCTAATCTTTGAAGTTAGTCTTTTTACCATGGGAGACAGTCACAACTCCTCTTACCTGACAAAAGAATTAATCACGCCATTGAGCAAATTCTTTTTGCTGAACACAAACTTGTACTTTCTTTAATTACCTGAAATACAAACTAAGAGCTCTTTAGGTTTCCCTGTGCTCTCTCTGAAGGAAGGGGTTTAGCATGATTGCCTATAGACACAGAAATGTTTCTGTAATTTCATTTAAAAGCAACCACATTCAAATGCTTTATTGTTCACATCTATTTTGCTAGTACAGACTAAATTGAGCATTTTTGCTTGAATGGTTAGTAAGGGCAATTTCATCGCAGAGGATTAATAAAAAAATTAGCTTGTACCTCAATAGTCCACTGTGAATTAATTTGCATAAACTATTTTAAAAAACGGCACCACTGACCTTTCAAGTAGCAATCACTCACTATAACAGTTTGACTTTAACAGGTCCTCATATTGTAAGCCTGTTTAACAGCCTTCATGTTCCCCAGCTGTGTGGAAACTGGAGTGTGATGGGGCTGAAGGGGTCGTTACTGACCACAATGCGGGTTACAGTGTGGCATCCCCCTGCCATTTCATGTATCTGCAGTCGCACAATATCGGGAAGCCAAAACACTGAAGGGCTGTCCCTCAAACACTCAAGCTCTACTGGTCAGATAAGGTCAATTCAACTGGCCTCTGGAAAGAGTCCAGTGGACTTGGAGATCCGTCATGGTTAGTCTTGTGGCATCATTTTTAACCACTGCGTCTTAGTGTACGGTCTTGCATAAGAAATATCCAGCTTTTGGAGATAATGAAGAGTCAAGACAGGAAATGGAATTGCAGGTTGCTTACGGAGGAGAACAACTGGAAGCAGTGCAGTCTGGGAGATGTGTCCACTGAGAAGACGGCACCCAACAAAGACAATACAAGGCCTTTATAAAATCAAAAGCCTTACAATTTCCTTTAATACAGCTCTCTGCTGCTGCTTTTTTAAAGACAATATTCACAAGCCAATTTGCACTAATGTTGTGGATACAATGCTGAACCCGGTGAACTGGACAAAGGGATCTTTTCTCCAAACACACAGGCTGCAAATGGAAAGCGTTGCAGGAAACAGGGCTGAACTTTAAAAACCCAGAGCTGACTAACTGAATAGGAGTCACTTTAATGAAGGTTGAACGAGTGGGAGGCTATCAGTGCTAACCAGCAGCAAACTGAGTTGAAGCTCACTGCAGAATTCAGGTCACAGAAAACAACTTTCTAGACATGACCGACATACCAGCTGTTGTGAAGAATAAGCAAAAAGGGAGAGTTGGTAGGTATAGAGCTAGAAAACTCAGATCTTATGACTTTGCTTTATATTTGGAGGTCTGAAAGTGGAGAAGGAAAAAAAAAAGAAAACGGTCATTTTCAACGAGGTATTCGGTATTGTATCGTCTCTTGATGAAACGGAAAAAAAAACTTCCCTGAGAGCCTTAATAAAGCAAAGAACATCCTATTCCCACATCCCCACCCTGGTTACTTCATAGAAACAGCGAGCCATAATTGATGGGAAGAACTGTAACCTCCCAGGAGACCCAGGGGTGAGGAGGTCAACTGGAGAAGCAGTATTGAACGGAGAAAGGAGATCGATTGGCCAGTTAGACTTTACCCTCAGCCAGGCACATCACAACATAGATCTCAGTCTCATCTCTGGCATGCCTGCCTTCCAGGCATATCATTATGCTCATAATTGCAGGGGATGTTTTTAGCGTACTCCGAGCAAGTGACTTGTCATTAATGGGCCAAAGGGGCCAAGAGGTCAGAGGCTGCAAATTGTTGTCCCTAAAGAGCTGCAATGTGTCAACGTTTGGCTTTTTTTTTTTTAGCTTGCCTTCGCATTTCTGGGGCTGTAATTTCCTATAGTTTTTCACAGATGAGAGAATGCTACTAATCTGCAATTGTGGAACTGCCTACTTAAAATGAAAGATAGCACCCCCCCCACCCAAAGTGAAATACTGCCTTCTTTGAGGTCTGCTCTACCTCAGATGCAGTTAAATAGATCAAACCCAGCACTGCATGTTTATTGCTACCAATTTGCAACAAATGCATGTGACAGCTTTCAATAGCACTCTGGAAGAGGCATTCTATTTAGTATTACATTTAATGAAAAATGATGCTTGACCATTTTCTAGATGGGATGTGAAGGGTATTGCCACTCATTTTAATTGTCCGTCTTCCAAAGGGAAACATATTCTCAAGTTCAAGTTAGTTTGCACATGAGTTTTAAACCAAAATCTTAAAACTGCGGGCAGAGTAGGAAAATAAATATTTCAGCTTATATCACACTTACACAACTATCTAAAACCCATAGTCTCACAAAACCACCCTCTTAAACATAACCTCCCCCCCAACACTACTTAAACTGATACCTACACATATACAAAGACATGACAGCATATATTGCAAAATACATACACAATCGTCCCAATACACACACAAATACAGCAAATTCAAATTTGTTGAAAACACACAAATCAACCCATAACAGATATTGCATTTCTGCAGTTTTAAAATGACATAACTTAAAACAAAAGCAAAGTATATATTTAACTCCACATCATGTTAGAAATTTAAATAGTAATTGGTACAAACTAACAAAATGAAACACCTGATGGCATGCCAAGATGTGCCATTTGACCAGTACAGATTGTCTACAATGACTGATAAAACTGCACTTGCATAGAATGGCTTTCAAGCTTCAAGGATGTCTCAATCTTTGTAAGTCAGCGGGCTAACCAACTGCATTCGCAGATTGCGAGTTTATACTACCGTGATCAGCATACAAAAACACACTAAAAAAAGCATTGAATTTAAGTATGGGGTGACTGAAAGCATACTAAATAATATGATGCAAGTTACTTCTGTTTTTTTTTTTAACTACACATTGCCATCAAGGTTTACACAGTCCGTTAGCAGACACTGTGCTCAGAAGGTGGTGCCAGTGAGCAGGACAAAGAGTTCAGTTCTTTGAAAAACTTTGAAATCTCTCCTTCAGAACGGTGCAAAACCTTCTACCCACTAAAACATCTCCTGCCCAGTGGTGGGGTTTGATTACTCCATGTTCTACAAAAGGTTTGCAAGACTAAAAGCCAAGAGGGCGCAATTCCAAAAAGAGTGGTTATGTGGACTCGGGGAGAGGACAAATTCAAGGAAACCACATCAGTTGGGTTCCAACTGCAGGGCTACACGTCCCATCCTCAACAAATCAGAAGCTCGTCAAGAAATACTGCTCGATTTATAAGCCCAATTTTTTCACCCAAAGATCTGGCCTAAAAACCAAACCTCCATCTCATTGCCACTCACAAATTACAAACCCGGGATCTGATGATCGGTGGATATTGCGGAGAAGCAAGCAGCCCCTCATGTTACCTCAGATACTGCATTCAGAATTTGGGTCGGGCAGCTGGCTAGTTGAAATTTTGGTTTAATCCACACCTAGATCCAAAAGACCCGTCTGTCAGAATAAACGATGCACATCTGGATTAAGGAAATCCCACTGGGAAACAGGAGGCATTTTTGGCTTGATTTCATGTAACAGGTGAAAGGAAAGAACAGGATGATGTAACCAATTCAGAACTTCTGCCTTCCAGTCCAGTGTAACCTGTGCAGAAGGAACAGAAGAATCTTGGGGGGGAGAGTAAACCTCGTGTTTTTATTCAGTCAGAATCTATTACTGCTGCAAACATCCCTGTACCTCACCAGTCCCTTTGACCAAGACTGATCAAATAAATGCCGCTAAATCTTCAGTTCCGACATTACCCTCAATCCATGCAGACATCAGTGTTGAATAATGCAGTACTCAGCCAGACATTTATGGTTTGGTAATTGTGTGGCAGAGGGCTAATGTATGGCTGCTCTGAGGAACAGCCAGCCTACACTCTCACACTGATAGTCCCACAGGCTGAGCTTTGTGCCGTGTTAATCCAGTATTTGGAGTGGAGAGGAAATCCTCAAAAAGTCAAAGCTCATAGGCAAGGTATAGGAATGTGTCATCTTTCTATACTGAGAGGCATTAAAAACTCCAAACGACATCGAACCAGCAGCATTGGTTGTGCTGTATTGCCTCTCAATATAAGTGCTTAGAACACACACTAGTGGTATATATAGTTATGGAAGAGAACAATGTATAGGATACCATACCAAGCCATATAGAAATAACTTAATGGCCAACATTTTATCTTACCAGTGTATGTAGGACTTCCATGAAGCCAGAGCTCAATGACATGTGAGGGAGAGGCTACCGACAGATGAAAACGGAAATGATGCTCTGTTGTCTGCACTGTAAAACCCAGCTAGATTTCAATCCCCTTGACAATGTGCCTGTATTAAGAAAAGGCTAAGGGACAGTGTACAGTGACAAAGACTGCTCTCCAATACCACGTATTGCAAAACTAGGGCTGCACAAGACGACTCCAAGTTACAATCAAACTCAGGCAATATTTTGCATATGCTATACAAATCAAGTAATAGCAGCAAGGTCAGAATTAACATAGCTGATTAAAAACAAATGCACACAAATCTAGATGCGGCCATTGCTCTCTATAGCCCCATTCTGCTCCTGCTAGCTCTTGTAGAGCGCAAAATCAGCTCAGCCATACCTCACTTTAATATTTAAACATTCCTCTAAAGCTCCCGAATTATATTGAGCCTTATAAACTTTTCTCAAGAGCCAGCATCAGGGACATGAGTTTCAAAGTCCCGTCAATCTGGTATTATGATAGTCATTCATCTACTGTGCTAATATAAATGATCAATAACCTGCTTTCATCTCCTGGGAGGGTCACAACTTCTCACTGGATAAGTAAACAGAGAGACGGAAATGCAAACATTTGGTGGAGCTTCTAAAGGGAGCTACTGCAGCAGCTGGGCCCTTGTACTTGCCCACCGCTGCATAGCTGAGATTCTGCTTGGTGCGTAGTGTTGTGGGTTAGTAGTGGTGAATAAGAATGAGGTATTTCTGAAGGGCTCGCCAGCTAGGCTGGTGAACTAAATTGCAATGTACTTCTACAGGATGGATCTCGTTTTTACGGCCTGTAAAATACAAGCAGCTACAAGAAGACGGAAAGACCTCCCCCTTGGGGAAAAAGCCTTTCGACATTTTCCAAGCCCAAAGAAAAAATATCTGGCAACACAAAAACAGCAGGAGAACCTGACCTCCTGCCTCAAATGAACATGTTGCATTTCAGACTAGAATCTGCTCCCCTGCCCAGAACGCAAAAAATACTGCTGGCTTTAGTGGCAATTGGCATCCCTGGCAGGAATCGGTCTTCTCTAGTACTGCCTCTGTGCTGTACCAGGAAGTGAGCCTTGAGCTTCCCACTGCTGCCAATGCTAACAGATACTCTACAGCTGAGGGAGCAGAGTCTGCATTCTTGAGTCTGACCTGGTTATTGTCGCTCGCGAAAGCAGACTGCTAGATGTCGCAATTAACAGCACCGAGGTGAGTGGGTGAGTGGGAGGCTCCCCCCCCCACAAAGGACATCACAGAAATGTAAAAAGTATGTTTTCATCCTGGCTTACATGCTATGGTACTGCCAAGCTGACATGGGTCACACACACACTTTCTTTACACACTGCAACAGGACAGAAGCCATGTGATTTCAATGACCATCTCTAGGGTCAATGGAGGCAGCATCCACTCCACTCAGCAACCTGTCTGTGCCCATTTAACTCCAGTGCCTTGATGATTGGAGTGTTTGCTGGCCCAACAGAAACCACCCCCATCCCAGACAGAAGCCTTGTGGAATTACCTTTACCATTAATGAGTGGGAAAGCTTGATTTAGAAAGATGATCTTCAAGGATCTAAGGCCCATCCCTCATTTTCAGGGAAGGCCATTACTACCAAAGTTACCAAAAGGCCCCACATTTGCAGTTCAGTTTGCTCAGAAACAGGGACCAAGGAAAAGCTGAACACAGCAGAGCGTGGGATAAAGACGAGGCCTTTGGATGCAATTGCTGGGCTAGAGTAAGGAAAATAATTGTTGCCGTGAATACGATTCAGAACCTGAGATGAAGGGGCCTAAATAAGCACCCCTATCCCCCCACCCCCAAAAAAATAAACTCTCTGGAAAAAAAATGACGAGGAAACGGAGCGGTTCTCTTTGAGTCTGTACAAGAGTTAGGCCCACAGGCCTAACTCCTCTACTGACCACCTGTGTTGTAACAATATCATCTGATGAAACGTGAAAGTGTATCACATGAGGGAAAACAAAGGTCTAAACTTTGAGGTCACATTGGTGCTTTTTACTTTGCCCTGAAGAAATAAAATATACTTTAAAGCTTCTTTTAACTTTCTAGAATAAAATAGAAGATATTTACAATTTTCTTTCTTTAAAACCCTATATATTTTTTTCAATGTATATGGTTAATAACAATAATAAGATAAAAAAATTAAATTCACTTTTCCCCTTGAATTTATGAGAAGCTTCATTGTCAGTAAAATTGTGTAAACAGTGCATTTTACCTTCCTTTCATTTTCTTTTTGTTCTCAGGAAATCTGTACATTTCTGGAGAGGAAATAAATTATTCACAGGCTGTGCATTTACATCTATAACATACTGGCTCCTTTTGTTATATTTTCGGCTGTCTTGGCTGCTGAAAAAAGATTTTAAAAGAAACGACAACAAATCGGAAAGTAAAAATTAAAAAACCCTACAGCGGGCTAGAGAACCTGAGATAGTGTACTTCAAGTGGTCTGGTTTTTTTATTCCCCCCACTCTTTTTCGTCTTTTTCCTTTCTTTTTGGCGTTGGCTACTCTAAGAAATGAGGTTTCTTTCCGGTTTGGCTTTGGTTAGCTTCATGTAAGGGGAGGCCCGTGGTTGCTAAGGCGAAGGGTTGCCGGAGGAGGATGAGGTAGGTGTCTTTGGGACTGGCTGGGCCCCACTGCGCCCGCTTGGGGTTTTGCTGTTACTAGAGCCCAGTGATCCTGACGGGCCCGACCCTGCTGCCTGTGCAAAAAGCACACCTGAAAGAAAACAAACAAACAAGAAACATGAACATGAATGGAGAAGCCCGAGCAGTGAGCTGTGTGAGTGTGTATTGGCCGCAAAGGAACCCGTGAAGGTGAATTCTGCACTGAAAAGGAGAAAGAAAAAACGTTTCGGAAGGCTTCACACCTGAAGACGACCAAAATGTTTTGCGCTTCGTTTTCGTTTCTTCTTTCTACTTTTCAGAGCGCGGGCAAGAAATGTTACATAAACGAACCTAAATCCATGTGCGTTTGTTAATCTGATCAATGGCGTTAACTACCACTACAGGACAAAACAAGCCCCGGTAACATTTATTCTGGCTAAAATGTCTGTAGCTGAACCAACGGCACTCTGTAGTATTCATGTCATTCACTCTTGGAGTATATCTAACTTGTTGAGGAAAGGGGAGAACTGGGGGCCACACCCACAGCTTAAATCCTGACTACTGTGGCCTCAAAAGATTTGGTTCATTTTCACCACTGCTAATCTCTAGATGTAATTTAACTTCATGATAGGCTGATCTAGAAACTCCAAAGTGCAGGTTTAAAAAGACAAAGAAGGAAGGTAAACGGATCAAACCCTTCTTACCCGTGTAGACAACACCATTGAGCTCCACAGACATGCTGATGCTGTTGAGGCCGTTGGTTGTGAGATTCAGTGCGGAGTCCTGTCTGCCCTCTACAAAGAGTCATGGAAATCACTACATCAGCATGGCAAAATGACCCCACAGACCTCCTGCCCTCCCAAGGGACCCAGGAGTTTATTTGTGTCGTATCTTCTCCACATAATCATACAGTGATATTTGATCCCCTCATTAAAAAAATAACTTCTGAAATCTAAAGAGCAAAACCCTATCACAGAAGAGAAAGACTTCAATATAATTTCGATTGTGGGGTTCCAGACCTTAAAAGGTTGTAAACCAAGTGCATTTCTACCATTTTAAAAAAAGTAAGCAAGAAAACAATCTGACTTTTATTCACAGTAAGGGAGGATTCCTTTATTTTCTGTTCTTTTGCATTCATATCATACTGGATTACACAACACTGTAGACCATTCTTCATTTATAAAGATCACTCAAGGCCTTTACATTTGCTTTCACTCAGGTGACCCTGCAGCTCAAGTTGATTGTGTTTATTTTAGGACTTTCGCCACACACGACCTCAGTAAACTGAGCCGTCGACTCATTCACCCAGCTGTCCACCCACACCGGTGAGAGCCTCTCATCTCATTCCGCCCCGCCTGCTCACCAACTATCGCAGACAGCGCTCACAGATCTGCCCTGTGACTGGACAGTTGTGGGTTTGAGGCAAAAACAGAGCTGCTTTGCTCTTGAGCAAGGAGCTACAGCCAAATTGCTCCGGGTTTGAGTGAAAGCCACTATCGACAACAGCGTTAGCCAAATAAGTCATTAGAACCCATGAAACTCACAAACCGATGCCAAGGACAAAGGTAACTAAGGGTGTGCCCTCAGTACCCCGAGGAGGCAGTGGATGGTTCAGGGTTCAAGGTGCAAGACAGGGTCCAGAGTCCCTGACTCTGAAGAGGGGCAATTTAAAACAAAATCAAGCATGGCTCTGGGGAGGTGGGAGGAAAGAGGAGCACCCTGAAAGCACCTGTGCAAACCTCGGGAGAACATGCAAACTCCACACGGACAGGACTCCGCGCTCTGACCTTGGTGGTTGATGCGGATGCTCATGGGCACCTGCCCCGTCATGGCCAGCAGGTTCTGCTGCAGCGCCCTGTGCATCAGCCTCTGCTGCTCCTCCGAGGGCACTGCCATCTTCTTCTCCGGCGGCTCGCCCAACTCCAGCTTGTCGCGCAGCTGCTCCAGCGCCGCCACCTGGGCCGCCATGGCCGCCTGGGCCGCCGCCGCCTGCACCGCCGCCGCCTGCGCCGCCACCACCGAGTGCCCGGCGAGGGCCACGGGCATCCTGCCTGGCACCGCCAGGGGGATGCCGCCTTCCTCTTCTGGGCAGCGCACAGGAGGAGGAGGAGGAGGAGGAGGAGGACAGAGGAAAGTGCAAATCAGAAATTCGGATTCCAGCAGCAGGTTAAACGATGCACTAGTAACAAAGCAAGAAATTGATCCACAGATCATTCAACCCTCACCCCCTCCCGGCTGGGGGGCTCACCTTTCTTGATCTTTTGGATGGGCGTGAGTGGAGCCCCGTTGGTGGTCATGGCGATGCCCAGGTTGGGCACCGACAGCTTGGGAGAAGACAGCATGGTGGGCGTCCCGTTGGGCGAGTAGGTGAAGAGCGTGCCCCCGAAGCCCTGCCGCCGGCCCTCCCGCCTGTTGCTGTCGATGGCGGCCTGGAGCTCGTTGGGGTTGCTCAGGCCCCTCTTGTCACATTCGTAAGGGTACAGGTACTTCATGTATCTGTCGGGCAACAAGAGCAGAGATCTGGGCTCCCAGCCTTTTGCAAAGAGCTGGTTTTGGAGAGCAATGGTCTGTGAAAACTGGCCAATTCAATAAAAAGAAGGAGTGCCGATGCTGGCAGGAGCAGAGCACAAGAGATGGGACTGGGAGGATGAGCCTGTTGGGTACTCACTGTGTCCTGAGAGTGAAGGCCGCGCTGGTTATTGAGGTAGGGAGGTTGAGTCCCTTGGTGATCTCTCTCCACAGCTTCTTGTTGATGACCTCAACAAGCCCCCCCTTTTCCGTCACCAGCTGGTACAGCATGTATAGGTCCAGCACCTGCTTGGCCATGATGGGGATCCGATTGACCGGAGTTCCTAGAGGGGCACATGGCTGCTGTCACACTCGGGGAATGCACACACAGGAGAATCCCAGCTAGGGCTGGATTTGCAGAAGGGAATTTGAACTTTGTCCATCAGCTATACGGTAGGTCTGCAGCTTCAAGGGACAATAACCCAAGAGCAACATCATGCTTACTGACATCCTTTTTTCCGAGAATCTGCAAGATCTAAGGCATCCACTGCAGCAAAAGTAAGGCTGAATCATAATACTGTATCCAATTTGCTGCAATTGTTGTCCCTTGTATTGTTTTAGATATCCTATTGTGTTTTTTTATTACTTACTTTTACATAATATTTTCCTAAAAAAGATATCATTTTTAAGATAGTGACATCTGCACTTATCACATCTTTGGATCGCGAAGCTTCAGGTGACAATTCAGTGGAAGTACAGGACACTGACATGCAGATGGGGGGGCTTGTGATTCAAGGCTTTTAGGCATTCGTATGTTTTAGCTCAACCGCTTGCATAACCAGCACCTAAGGCTGTGATCTGAAAGTCAGGAGACCAGCTTCACGTCGCTTTCAGCCATGGTCCCTAGAGGGCAGCAGCTACTCTGTTTTGCATTGTGAGATCAGTGTGGGCTAGAATGGCAAACAGCAGAGCTGTATACAAGAGAAAAAAAGACATTCACTGTATGAATTGTAAAGCAGAATTAAACTAAACTGCTCCAGTGCATGCTCACACCTCTTGCTGGTTTCACAAATTAAAGGCCTCTGTCAGGGTTCTAAAATGTTTTATGTAGATCTCTCCCAAGGAAAAAAAAAAATCAAATATTTGAAACGAATGAAATAAAAGTAAATTAAAAATGTTCATGCAAACAAAGATTTGTCCCGTGATTGAGAGCTCAAATGAAATGGAAATGCCAAAGTCTCCAATATCTGAGGCTTGACTGGGAGATGTGAAAATCAAGTGAATTCCAGGCTGCTTCTCACCTAGTCACCTCTTACTGAAAAGCTAGCACCTTTTAGTGAGGTAGCCATAGGCTGCTGAAACCAAAGGGTTAACAGCATCAGTTTTGATTTTGCTTGGTGCGGCATCTCTCTAGTTGTCAGCATCCACACCAGGCAGAAAGGCCAGCCCTGCCAGGGCTGTAACGATGATTTCCTCTTCTTCATTAACAATTTATACTACACAGAGTGACTGGGAGAAAAAAAAAGTCTCAAGGAGATAAAATGCAGTATGTAGTAACGAGTACTCTCAATAAAGCCCTCAGCTCTTCCAGGTCTTGCTCTTATAAACTGGAAGAGGGTGAACAGACCCTAAAGCCATCATTTTCCTGGACAGTGCAGATATGCCCAGCTGGCTGAAAGATGAGAGCTATGTTCATGTGTCAGATTCAGTATTACCAAGCATTGCTTCCCACATTTCAACAACACTATCCATTAGGCTGGGGTGTTAACAGCCCCAGGCCTCTCAGAAGGACAGCTTTGAAAGCAGATAAGCCTTGGGGCAAGCACCCAGGCTGCAGAGCAAAAACCTTAAGGCGCTCTGTCTTGCAATGAGTACATACCCCTCTTCTGCATGAAGCTGAACAGGTCATCCAGGAACTCTTTCCTCTTTGGGTCTCCATCCAGTTCGTACAGCTGCAGAACATGCAAAGACAAACTGCCTTCAGGTACCACACACAATCAGGGTGCCAAAGCGCTTTTCACAAGCCAGCAATTCATTTCGCCAATTGTCAGCAGCAGGGCTCGCTATCGCTTTGCGTATTTAACACAAGAGCTAAATACTTAGCTCCACTTGGTGGACGCTGGATGGCATTTTATCTTTAATGAAAACACGTTTATCTCTAGTTCTCAGATGATATAGGAGACTCAGAAGGCTGTGTGTGCTGCTCACAGCACCAGTGTGATGTCAAATCTTCAGGGACAGCCAAGTATGGTGAGAACTGAGGGATAAAGGTGTAAATAATGTATGCAAAGGTTAATCCGCACAGAATTTCTGCCCCTTTTGCCAGAGCTCTCCCATGCATTGAATGTGTTCTGTCATGATTTCATCTGCAACATTCCTTCAGATTAGAAGACCTGTATTATCCCATACTTGGGGAAATTCATTACCCAAATTCTTAGCACACCTCCCTCAGCTCTGCCCCACCGACAGCACGATTCCACTCCTCTTCTGCACCTTCGTTTCCACTCCTCACTGGACCACAGCCCTTTGAAAGGGACACCCTGACCCCGAACACTGTGGTGTCACTAAAAGACGAAAGCTGACGCATAGCTGCTTCGTTTTAAACCACTCTCACAATGGGGGTAATTAACGGATTGCATTACAGCGCTGTCTTGTTAAAACCTCACTTACGGGCCTGTGCCTTGCTAGGCCGCTGCCAGTGCGAGATCCCTAGCTGCATTCAAAACCCGGGGATGATACACTATCAGTATGAGGAATCTGTTTAGATAAGAGTCTCAGGCAGACCCCATTCCCTTATGTGCTACAAAGACTCCGCAGCCCTTGTTAGTGGTTAGCGACCCCATAATCAGCAGGAGAAGGGGACGAGGGGGCTGCAGTACAGAGCTGGAGGCAAGCGGAGTCTTAATTACAGGATGCATGCATTTCTTAGGAGTGCCACGCCATAAATCTTTTAAATGGCTCCTTTCAGTCTCCCTCTTGCACAAGTTTCTAATGCACCCAGCCTTCCCTCCCCCCACAGGATCATCTCTTTCGCTCTCTGTACACTGCACCAGCACCCACCCAGCCACCCCCCTCCTATCTCTCCCCACGCCCCACCCCAGACACGGCTTTTTGACTTCTGTACTTAATTACCAGAGGCTGTTTTGCTGGATGCCATTGAAAAGGCAAGGCGCAGGAAAGAGACCGACACCATGAACAATTCCAAAACGCTTCAAGATATGATCAGAATCTTCTCATCGGCATTCCTAAGTGAGCCCCCCCATGAGCTTGGATCGAGCCAGTTCACTCGAATATCCCGTTCTGCATGATTCTTCTCATTGATTAGATTGTTGATTCTTGTGATAACTTTCGCAGACTTCACTCCGCACAAAGTTCTGTTGGAGGAAGGACAGGTTGGAGATTAAGGCTTATACTAAACTTAATTTAAGGTTGGAGTCTGGTTGGTCTGAAGATGTGAGTACACAAATGGTGGACACCTCTGAAATTTTTAAGTACGTGAAGCAAGAATAATTAAAACCAAAAAGGAAGTGGCTGTATAAGCTGACCACCAAGTTTTAAATCAAATCCCTTCTCCATACAGTTCGTGTCCCAAGGTAGGAAAGTGACTCTCCCACTCCCCTAACTCATCCCTAATCACCGAAGCCTGTGCGACATGGATACGAGCCCCCACTTTGTTTCCTGGGGCCTCAAGGTTGCAGTACAGAAGCAAAAATGCTCAAGTCGTACAGATCAAACTCGTACACTACCAGGTTTTCAGGTCACGACATTCAAAAACGAAACATACGCGGAAAATGACAGGAGTCGAGCCGGGTCCAGCAGGAGTACGATAATGACCACAAACATCCCTCAACAGGAATTATTTGGGACTGCACTAAGATGCCACTCTTTGGCACAACCTCAAATGACAAAGACATTTTTAAAAAACTGTAGGCAGGAGTTTAACTGGCTTTTTTTTTTTTGCTTTAGGTGTCCACAAAGCCAAGAGCCTGTGAGTAAAAAGCAGGTCCTGGACTATTAGCAATATTCACCTGATTAATGATGCATAACCCAACGTTTTGACTTGCCCTTCCCAGCAAGATAAGCTGGCATGTAAACAAATGACAGAGCGCAGCTCCGACCCCGACCCCAACCCCTCCCCCTGCCCTCACCAACGGTCCCGACACATGGTACAGTGAGAACCGACCAATGAGGGCTCCGAAACCTCCCCCCCCTGCTGGCCTCCAAGCCCCCTTCCAGTCTTATTACTGGATGCAGCTGCATCCGCTTAACAGGAACCTGAGACCCCACCCCCCACTTCAACCCCCCAGCACACATCTGATTATCTGGGCGAGCAGGGTGGGGATGGGAGGCGCAGGGTTTTAACGAGCACAGGAGTGGAAAGTGCTTAGTAGAAGGTCACCCACCTCGTGCTCCCAGCAGGGCAACTTCTAGCGGCCTTCAAACAACCCCGAAAAGGCCTCGAATAAAATTGAAGCGCAGTGCCTGTAAGTGTTGGGGGCCGCACACACTTGGTATCGCTGATCACATTGCCCAACAATAAGATTTGCAAGATGCCTCCTAATGGGTTAAAAAGCACAACCCTGCTCTCCAGGATTCTCAACACGGGCAGCACAATTACTGGTCAGGAACAGAACCACAGGCACACCAGAGGTCTTGAGAGGAAAGCAACGGTAACGGTAAATGCTGCTTCATATCCACTACAGTACCAATTTGAAAAATTACCATCTGGGCGATGTTTCAGAGCGTCAAGTGTTACAAAAAACACTAAGAAGTCATCATTCATACCAGGTGCAATTACTGTTTTAAACTCTTATGTGTGAACCCCTTCAGAGTATTGTACTGGTCGCATACAATATATACATGCAGTTTACACTTGAATATTATGTTTTGCACTTTAATCTTTTTTATTGTATGATATTATATTATATATGTGTGCATTGTATATACACTTTTATTTTAGTGTGGCAAATATTCCACTGTACATGGATGATCAAGTCGATTCTGATGCCAATTAGCAGTGCATCTGTAACATCCCTTGCAAGAACTTGCTTTATTTCCTTGAATGGTTCATTAATAACTGGGATGGACTGGCATCCCGTTTAGGGTTGCTGGGATAGGCTCCGGCTCCCATAGTGGATAAAAGAAACCTATATTGGACAAAGTGGAAGGATAAAGAATGGCTGGACATTTCAGCAAATAAACATTAAGAAAAAAACCTCTGGAGCAAAAAATCCCTTACGTACATCACATGGCATCTGCCACCGTGAATGGAAAACTGATGGAAGCTTGATTCAGGGATAGAAATGGTCAGCATAAGAATAAATGCCGTCAAGTTCTTCAAAAAAACTCAACTGAGCTGCAGAACAGTCTTTTGGCAAACAGGCATGCACTCTCCTCCTTAACAGGCTTCAATAGTGACTGGCTTTCAAAATTGTCCTTCTTGAGCTTTTTAAAGGAAGAGAAAGCGCATTTCTGACTCATGCTAGCAAAATACATGCGAGTTAATCCCGTGAGATTTCTTCCTCCTAACTAAACTGCCCCCATTGAAAGATGGTTTCAAAAGTGCTGAAATGATGGTGAGCTTCTTGATATCAACATTGTGGTTCTTAAACTCGGCCTACTTCACCAATGAGCAGGGGAAGTAGAAACAGCACTTCCCTGTGAATAATAAACCCCAAATTTGTTCTTCAGATTATCAAATGCTCTATGCTGATGGGCATTTTTTTATGGTAAATACAAAATGCCATGTTGGCTTTTAAGCAGATGGATAAAGGAGATTGCTTTGGAAAAACACAAATGGATGAAATTTCCTAGCCAGGCCTTTGTTTGGAATTCAAGGCACTTTGAAACATGGACACTGCCATCTTGCACCCCTAACATTTGTACAGAGTTTATCACATGATCAATCCTCTATTACATCACTGCTGGCTTTCTTACACGCAGCTATTGCTGAATTATAGGGAAATACTCTGATCCTCTTCAATTGCACAGCGCAGATGCAGGATCCTGCATCGACTCTTATCTTGCCATCAACACGTACCACGCAGAGAACAATTACACTCCGCAGACCGAATTGGAGCCACAGGAAGAGAACAGGCACGTCACAAATGAAACGGGAGCTTCTTTCGCCCTAAAGGTCTGCTCAGCCTGCTCGCGCCAGCGCCTACGCAGTTTCAGGGAAACGCCATCACCAGAAGAACCCACTGGGCGTTCTGGGACATCGATCGCTGGACCTTTCTCCACCCCTCGCTGGAGAAAACTCTCAGGCTTAGCTTTTCAAAAAGAAAGAATTCAAACCGGCTCCAGGAAGGGAGTGTGTGGATTACAATAATTACCTGTAATTATTGTACTTTACCGTAGCATCTCGTAGACACTGCTCGCTTTCTATAGTGCTGTTCTATACCTGTGTAACAGCGTGCCAATAAAGTTGGTTTGTACCACACTGTACCTGACAGCTTTTGTTTAGCAACTAAGGGAGAATACTTGCCCTCTGCTAGTTTTTTCCGACTCCCACAGGCTGTCTGAAAATAAAGCACGTCGCATGAAAACAACCGTTACCTGTACCTTTGTAAACTGCGCGGGCCTCAAGCCCTGAGCACGTGTTGCCATGGCACCCAGAAACTGCAAAACGTGTCACTCTGCGTGTCAGAAGAAACCAAAGACTTAGAGGAGCAAAGCTAGGCCTTCTCTACCAGTACTTTCTGTGACGATCTGCAGTAAAGACCACATCATTCTCAATTAGATTACAAGAACTCTGGCCAATTAATGCAGTGAATCCCCAGAATATTGAGATGAAAATAAGCTTGTCCACGAAGGGCAATCATGCCTGTCTTAGTTACTATATGAGTTACTATACACATGTTTAATGGACTGAACTGAGACTCATCCACCAACACCTATTCTTTGTGTAAGCAAATACACACTATCAAACATACGCAACACAAGTACCTCA